TTGCAATTTTAAGGATAAAAAAATAGAAAAGTATAATTCCCTATGTTCGAAAATTCTAAAAATTTTCCGGAAAATAGATTGGATTTTTCCCGCCATGTGTACAAAATATCAGCTCAAACTAAAAAATATTGAAGTTTTTAGAGTGGGGGTGACACATGGGACCTAGTAGTGTCTACCCCTGCCGTAGTAGAAATTCCACATATTTCTCTATAGGGAAGCCAACAATCCCTTAAAAAAACAAACGCGTGCCCACCCGAACCTACGCCCGCGCCTAGTGCTCGGGGCTTGGGGCCTTGGGGCCTTAGGGACATGGGCCGAGGGCCGCGGGCTACGGACTGCGGTATATCATGCCTCATTAAAAAAATGAGTTTGAGCACCGGAGCCAAGAGGAGTAGGCCGGCGGTGAAGCCCGGCAACGCAATCCCATCGGCCGTGTGCTCTTATCGGCCCCAAGCACGTGCAAGGTGCACCCGCTAACGAGCCCTCCGTCGCCTCGCTCGCAATCACCTTACGAGTCGGCTTCCGGGCCCCATACGCGCCCGCTCGCGGCCCCTTGTGGACGTTGGGCGTGGAAGTTCGCGGACCCTCTATACGCCCGCTCACATGCCCCTCGCGGGCTAGCTCCCAACCCCCCGCGGGCCGGCTTGCGGACCCCTGCCGCCTCGCTCGCCCCCACTAGCATGCCCACTACGGGTTACCTCGCGAGCCCCCTGCGTGCCCGCTCGTATTCCCCCGGCGGGCCGGCTCGCATGCAACCCGTAGGCTAGATCACGGACCCCCTGCGGGCCGGCTCACATGGCCCCCGCAGGCTGGCTTGCGGTGCCCCACGTGGGCCGGGTCGTGCCCGCTCACATATCCGCCGTAGGTCGGCTCATAGACCACCTGCGCACCCACTCGCATGCCCCTCGCGCGGATGGCTTGCGGACCCCTTGTTGCCTCGCTCACGCTCGCCCGTATGCCCCTTGCGGGCTAGCTCGCGGACCCCCTTCTTCCTTGCTCACGCCCGCTCGCATGCCTACTACGGGCTAGCTCGCGGACCCTCTACGGGCCGGCTCGCATGCCTACCGCGGGTTGCCTCGCAAACTCCCTATGCGCCGGCTCGCATGCCGCCCGCGAGCCGACCGGCGGACCCCTACTTCCTCGCTCACGCCCGCTCGCATGCCCCCTGCGCGCCCAATCACGGACCCCGCGCGGCCGGCACGCACTGCCCGGCTCGCATAACCACCTGCGGGCTAGCTCGTACACCCTCTCGGCGGCCGGCTCGCATGCCTACCGCGAGCCGCCTCGAAACCCCCTATGAGCTCGCTCGTATTCCCCATGTGGGCTAGCACGCTTGCCCACCGCGGGCTGCCTCGTAGACCTCCCGCGGGCCGGCTCGCTTACCCCCTGCGACCGCCTCGCGGACCCGCCGCGTGCCCACTCGCATGCCCTCGCGGGCCGGCTCGCGAGCCCCATGCGCTCCCGCTCGCAACCTCCCGAGCACGATGGGCACACTAGCTTGTAGGACTTTTCCACGCGTTGGTCGTCCTAGTGCACCAAATGAGGTCGGGACGACTTCGCTAGGCGGATGGTGTGGTCGCCAAGCCCGGTTTCGTCGATTTCGCTTTCGACTTGAAAATTCATCCCTTTAAAACAAAACCTTCCCAATAATTCCAAAATGTTATTATTGTGCTCCCTCACATTTTTTGGATCGTTCGACTTATTTTCTTCTTTCTCTAATTTTTTTCATTTTTAATATTGAAAAAATAAAAAAGCATACTTCCTATCCCCGAAAAATTCGAAAATTTTTCAAAAAATAGATTGGATTTTTCCAAACTAGTGTACAAAACTTCGACTTAAAATTCAAAAAATTGAATTTCTTAGAGGGGTTGACGGGTGGGACCTAGTAGTGTCTACCCCCGCCGGAGCCGAAATTCTACATATTACTCTATAGGGGGTAGTCGCTCGCTTGCCCATGGGCGCCGGCCATGGGTCCTAGTTCGAGAGCATTGTGGGTGGTGTCTTGGCTCTTGTTCTTGGTGAGGTTGCTCATATGTCGGGCCGGTGAATGTTTCGTTCGCCGGTGACCCCCTCCGACCACTTTCTCCGGTGACCCCCTCCGGTGACCCTCGGATTTTTCTATGCGGCCTTTTCATAGGATTTTTGTACTCGTGCTTTTGCCAACTAGTGGGCCAACAGTTGTGGGTGTTTTATTTGTTTTCGGCAAGCACGTGGTTGGTTTTTGTTGTTACAATGGCAAGTTAAGAAAGTGGCTAGGTTGAAGTCTGCTAGGATGTTGTGTCGGGCTTGGGAATTCCAACGAGACATTTCGCAAGCACTTGTAGGGCATTAAGTTGTTTTGCTTGTGTCGATGCATGGGCTCTCCGCGAAATCCTTGAGCCTCCGTCATGATGATATCTCCAAAGTCGAGGCCTAGCCATCGGATTTTTTAGCCGAGTGGCAAATGCGTGTGTGCATAGGTGGCCGATCCGATGCCCCGGTCGGACGTAGTGACGGGCTTGGGGATTCCAAGTAGAGCTTTATGCTAGTGCTTGTATAGCATTACGTTGTTGTGCTCGTGCCAAAACGTGTCAAAGGTGGGTGCGCGGTGGTCGCTCCGATGCCGGTCATGACATAGCAATGGGCTTAGGGATTCCAATGAGAGCTTTAGGCTAGCAATTGCATGGCATTGAGTTGATATGCGTGCGCCAATCCCTAAGGCCTTCGTTGCATTTGTATCCTCACGGCCAAGGCCTACGCATTAGCGTTTTAAGCCGAGTTGCAAAGGTGTGTGCGCGGGTGGTCCGTCCAACGCTACCGGGATGTAGCGACTAGCTTGGGGATTCCAACGAGAGCTTTACGCTAGCACTTGCATGGCATTGAGTTGTTGTGCTTGTGCCGACGCATGCGTTCTCGCGCAATGCCCAAGGCCTTCATCATGATCGTAGCTCGACGACCAAGGCTCGGGCATCGGCATTTCGAGCGAAGTGGCAAAGGTGGGCACACAGGTGTCCGATCCGATGCCGGCCAGCTGGGACGTAGCGACGGGCATGGGGATTCCAATGAGAGCTTAACGCAAGCGCTTACATGGCATTAAGTTTTTGTGTGTGCCGACACATGCGATCTCTCGTGCAATCCCTCGGCCCGTGTCGTGATCGTATCCCGACGGCCAAGGCTTGGGCTTTGGCATCCTAGCCATGGTAGGTGTCCCTTTTTCGAATGTCTCCATCTCGTCCCTTCCAGCTTTACGTGACTATCCCTTTGAAATCTTTTGTGTCCGGCGGTACAAGCTTTGATCTTGCTTGAGTGTTTCCATTTTGCTCTTTTAGGTCGTGGTTCGCTCTTCGGGATCGATGTCATGTGTACATAGTGGTGCATGAGCGATCGTCGGGCTGTCCGTGTTGGCGGGCTCGTGTCTGGTGCACCGAACTATTGGCTCGCGGTCCTTGTCATATCTAGCCCAAGAGCACTGTAGGACCGCTGCGGTGATGAGGTGCTCCCGTGTCACGTACCCTTTGTGGTGGAATTAGAATTTTACGCTATCCCTCTCTACTTTGTGCCTCCTCTAAGTGTGCATGACGGATCTTTGCTACGACGCTTGTGTTCCAATCGAGTGAACTTCTATCGATTTGGCCCACTCGCGACCGCTCATGCTTTCGGATGCGGAATTTGTGTCCGTGTAGGGTTCTCTAACCCCGTAATAGCCTCGTTTGAGTAATCTTTGCTCGATAAGAATGACCTCTCGTGCTCGACTTATCCCCTCATCTCTTTGACGTTAGGGATTGTTTGGGTTACGGTGTCATAAAGGAATGCTACCCGGTTGATCCTGCCGGTAGTCATATGCTTGTCTCAAAGATTAAGCCATGCATGTGTAAGTATGAACTAATTCGGATCGTGAAACTGCGAATGGCTCATTAAATCGGTTATAGTTTGTTTGATGGTATTTTCTACTCGGATAACCGTAGTAATTCTAGAGATAATACATGTAACAAGCCCCGACTTCTGGAAGGGATGCATTTATTAGATAAAAGGTCGATGCGGGCTCTACTCGTTGCTCGATGGTTCATGATAACTCGACGGATTGCACGACCATCGTGCCGACGATGCATCATTCAAATTTCTACCCTATCAACTTTCGATGATAGGATAGAGGCCTACGCTCCGGATACATTAGCATGGGATAACATCATAAGATTTCGATCCTATTATGTTGGCCTTTAGGATCGGAGTAATGATTAATAGGGACGATCGAGGGTATTTGTATTTCATAGTCGTAGGTGAAATTCTTGGATTTATGAAAGATGAACAAGCTGCGAAAGCATTTGCCAAGGATGTTTTCATTAATCAAGAACGAAATTTGAGGGCTCGAAGACGATCGTATACCGTCCTAGTCTCAATCATAAACGATGCCGACCGGGGATTGGCGGATGTTGCTTCTAGGACTCCATCAGCACTTTATGAGAAATCAAAGTTTTTGGGTTCTAAAGGGAGTATGGTCGCAAGGATGAAACTTAAAGGAATTGACGGAAGGGCACCACTAGGAGTGGAGCCCGCGGATTAATTTGACTCAACACGGGAAACTTACCAGTGTCCGGACGTAGTAAGGATTGACAGATCGAGAGTTTTTTTTTTTTAAATGTAAGTATATAAATCAAAGGAAACCAACTGGAAAAAGAACCAAGCAAGAGTAAAAATTTATAGGATGCATAAAAATTGGGAACAGGCTCCCAATGAAACAAAAATAATAAGCTAGCCCTAGATGGTTATTCAAGGAATCAAATAGTTGTAGAGATTCCAAGAAAAACCATATAGGGACCGTGTGCTAGCTAACTGGAACCATTTTCATAGGCTTTACAGCAGTACAAAAACTTTGTTGATTAAGCACTAAATAAAAACCAACAAATTACAAAATAACGACCATCAATTTATAGAGCCAGCTGCTAGCTCGACGAAACAACATGGATCGACGAAGTAGCAGCGCCAAGGCGTGCGGAGAGGTTATGAGCGGGAGGGCCCGCCCGTCAACGAAGCTGGACAAGGGATGAGACCGCATGACAAAAGAAAGAGAAATAACGAGCTAGCGGGAGCAAGCAGCGCCGGCTTGGCATAGAGCCAATGGGGAGCAAAAATGTAGGCTAAACCATACAGCGGGACCAAAAATGAGAACCAAGAGGAGCCGGTAGGCACAAACGACAGATGCCCAAGCTGGAACTTACACCGGGCCGAACCATACCTCCTACCAACCGGACCCCTCCTATCCTACCAAGACCATAATCTAGTAAGTACCTAGCCATGAGTAGGCCAACACAAAGAAGCACCCGAAGCGGGCGAGGCCGAACATCCGCTTGGCGTAAAACAGGGACGTGAGGAAGCATTGGACGGACCGGGAGGGGAGACTAGGCCCGGGCTCCACTAATAAATAAGGGGCTGAACACGACAGTAGACCCGGCTCGGTGAAGCCCAATCGGATTGTGAAACGAGCGGCGAGTAGGCCATGAGGAGGAGACACATCAAGTCGGCCAAGGCGGGGCCAAACAGAGGCAAAACAACGAGAGGCAAAGCACCCAAACCCAAACCAACCGGAGAGCCTAAAAAAACTCTACAACTAGACCAATGACAAGAGCGCGAATACAGCCCAACCAAAACGAAGCTAAAGGCCGTGGCGCACATACAGCCCAACCAAACCGAAGCCGAGCCCACCCAAACCAGCGAAGTAAGCTCGTAACCGGACTCGAATAGGTTGGAAGGAACCGATCGGGCATGGAATAATATCTAACCCACAAGCGAAGCAAGACCAATGAACTCGACCAATCCGTGGTAGTAGCCAAGGAGCCGGCGGTGGTGAAACTCAATAGGACCCCCTAACTAGCAAAGGCTTACGTCTTCGAGCATAGTATTTGTAATAGGCTCAAACAAAGGTAGAACCCCCGAATAGAATAGCAAAACCAAAACGACCCAAGGGCCTAGAAGAGCGACGGACAACCCAAGAAGACCGAACCCGGAGAACCAATCGAAGTAACCCGACCGGAAAAAAGAACTTTATAAACTCACCAAGCAAATCAAGGCTAGCCCACGGACAAGAGGAGGGGGTCCGAATACCGTGTAGAAAATAATCTAAAATTTACGAAACACATTGTCCACCAAGCTAGCCATGGCATCAAACGCATGTCCGTTTCTTTCTTCCCGGATGATATAAACTATGATACTAAGGGCCACTCTCCTCATTTTCGCTTTAAGGTTGTTACGACGATAGGAGAGGCCTCCGATAGCACTAGTGAGCATATGCATACCTCGGTGAATTCGCAGCCATTGCTTAATTTTCAACCGGAGGTTGGCTATCCGAAGCGGGAGAAGAACAAATGGTTAAGTGACTCGAAGCTTGATCACAAAGAAGACATGCATCACTGGTGGGCGGAAAACAAAGACGGTTCTTAGTTTTTAAGGCACCCCTAGCAACAAGCTAGAGAATAAAGGAATGCCGTGGCATGGACCATAACTCCCAAATCACCCTACCCCAGACACTCTGGTGCCCCTGCCGGCCTAAGCCGTGTATATGCAATATTAAAGAAACTTCCCTCTCCCAAGTTCCACCTAGCAAGCTCACGTATAGCTACATCTTTACTCTCATATGTCACAACAAGCAAGTCCTTCACATCTAGAATAGCTTTCCACAACGGTGAAGCATTGCGATGGATGTCAACGTCCCACACTCGGCAATCTTGCAAGTAGAAGTGGTGGATCCAATGAATCCAAATGGAGTCGGCCTTGAGGTGTATGTCCTAGAGCCTTTTAACCGGAAAACTTTGGTTTTTCACTTTGATATCAAAGACTCCTAGGCCACCTTCGATTTAAGGGAACGAGAGGCTTTTCCAAGCCACCAAAGCCAAAGAGCTCCTATTGATATCTCTCGTCCATAAAACATTATGACACATACCGGTGATACGTGCAATAACCACAACAAGCATAGGAAAAATAACAAGCCGAATTGTATCATGCTGAAGAGGATGGACTCGAGGAGTTCTAGCCTACCCACATAGGATAGATGTTTTCCCATCGAGCTCCGAATCGCGGATTCAAGACTATGTAGCAAAGGGGCAAGCCGGCTAGTAAGCAATCAATGAGGGCTTAGAAGGACCCCCGTGTATTTGAAGGGGAAAGAACCCTCACGGAACCCGGTTTCTTGGAGGATGGAGTTTTTCAAGTCGCTTCCTACCCCACCGAAGAAGATCGAGGACTTGGCCACATTGATGGCTAAGTCGGATACACACCCAAAGATAGATAGCTGGTCGGATAGAATCTCGATGGAGGCAACATCTCCACGGCTAAGCAACAAGACATCATCCTCAAATGCTAGGTGGGTAATGGCATGGATCCCACATTGAGGGTGGAAGCGAAAGTCGAATTCCTTGCGACAACTCCGCGATAAGCGAGAGAAGTATTCCATATAGACCATAAATAGGTAGGGAGAGAGGGGGTCACCTTGCTCGAATGCCTGCTTTTTCTAGGAAGAACCCAAACGAGGCCCCGTTGATCGAAATGGAGTAGGAAGCCGATTCTACACATGTCATAATCCAACCAACAAATTTGTCTTGGAAGCCCAATTGTAATAGAAGGCCGTTTCAGAAACCTCACCGTACGAGTCAAAGGCCTTACGAAATCAATCTTCATTAGGCACCTCGGAGAAGATCATTTCCGTCCATACAATCGAAGCAACTCCTAAACCAAGCAAATATTGTCCGAAATTTTTGGCCCCCAAGTAGGCATTCTCGAGAGGACTAACTATATCCATCGAGCTAAGGATAGCCGGGAGGAAATGATCTTGGTAATCACGTTATAAACTACATTACAGCAAGAGTTGGTCTATAGTCACTTGGCAAGGTAGCATTGGCCATTTTAGGGACTAAAGCTACAACGGAATGGCCAACTTGTTTGAGGAGTTTCCCGGATACAAAAAACTCTTTAACCGCTGCATAAAAGTCTCTCCCAACAATATCCCAAGTATGTTTGAAGAAGAAGGAAGAGTACCCATCGAGGCCCGGTGCTTTATCATTGTCTATGTTGAACGGTGTCTTCCGGATGAGATCCACCATGATCGGGGAGAGAAGCCAATCATGGCCGGCCGTTTGTAATCAAGGCCCACTAGCAACAATGTACGGGTCAAGGGGCATAGTAGCTTTAGTGGTACTTAAGAGGTTTTGATAATAGGAAACAAACTCCTCTCCTACTTCGCAATAGAGGTAGTGAGCTACCCATCTCCCCATTTAAGTGCAGCTATATGGTTGGCTTTGTGCTTCGATTCATAAGGCGATGAAAGAAACTAATGCCTTTGTCGCAATCCTTAAGGAACTTGCACTTTAATTTTTGACCAAAAAACATCTTTTTCGAGGCTTTGAGATTAACCGGATGGAGTGGAGCCTCTTTTCATGCGGAAAAAGTTCCAAATTATCTATATCCGAGTGAAGCTCGATCCGTAGTGCGACCAAGTCGGATTCGACCCCGACCACCCTTTGGGAGATGTGGTCGGAATGGAGTGTGTTCAGCTTCTTGAGTGGTTCCTTGAGAGATTTCAATTTGTGACAAAGAACATACATTGGGGTGCCACTAATTCTAGCTTCCTAACAATCGGCCACGAGTTCTCGGAAAATCAACGTAGGCGACCCACATATTGAAGAATTTGAAGCTTCGAGTTCCGAAATGAACACGGGAGCCCAAGTCTACCATAAATGGAGAATGATCGAAAAAGCGCCCGAAGGACTAAAATGAATATGAGCGAGTCGCTCGGTGGAGGACCAAAAGGGTTAGCCGTAACTCGTCGATTTTTATCCATACATCTACCCCATTCCAAGTAAAATGGCTCCCCGTATAGTTAAGGTTCGTTAGCCCAAGATCTAAGCAACAACTATGAAAGTCGACGGTCTCATAGTTAGAGATAGCGACTCCCTTATGTTTATCAGGCATGTGAGAGTATCGAGTTAAAGTCCCCCGGAATAAGCCAAGGGAAGTTCGGTTGCCACCGATGAAGATCGGCCCACAACCCTCTTCTAAGCAGTGATGGAGTGTAACCTATAGATAAAAGTGGCATTAAAAGACAGCTTGCCGAACAAGGTCGGTGATGCTAACATTGAGACCTTGAATAGAGACATTCAACATATTAACTCGTAACGATTGCTTGGATTCTAGAAAAGTGCAATGCGGGCGTTTCCCACTACCATAGCATTCGAAATAAAGCTCCATTGCTTGAGTCTAAGCCGATGCATATTGACAAGCTTAGCGGAACCGAGTTCGATTCAACGAAGGCACATACATCAACCTTCTTTTTCTTCATGAGATGCACTCGCCTCATGTTGTTTCAAAGGACTATTAAGTCCTCCGATATTCTAGCTAAAGATAATCATGGACGAGCGAAAGAGGCCGAGCCCCTTCAACCCCCGCTTCGCCCTTTCTTACAACTCGCTGGCAACCTCGCCCGGGTGAAATGGCTCGGTCGTCCGCTCTTCTTGCCCGATCGGGGGTTCAAATTGGTGTCCCCAAGGGAAGCCGGAACATTAAGGCATTCGCCTTCCGTGTTAGGAACAACCCCCGTGATGGGAGGCTCGACTTTCCACTATCTTGTCTATCACAAGAGCCATTCCTACGAGTGCCCTTAACCGACCCGCCCTCGGCGTGATGGCCCCGCTCGTCCGGCTTAGTCAACAATTAGGCTTCTCAACCCACTCATGTCCCCGTTGCTCGCAATCTTCCAGCCCGAGCCGAACCTCAATCAGCTCAACGTCAAAAGGGGATGCTAGACCCATAGTAGAATCAACCATAACATGTTTACCTTTATCAACGACTACGCGAGAGTGTGTTTTATGCTTTACTCGTCTCCCACTCGGCAGCTTCCGAGTAGCACGGGGTCGGTAGGTGTGTGGACCGTGGCCGTGCACACCTTGGCAGGATCACCCGACCACTAGAAAACACTAGTTCTAGCTTGCCCACCGAGCAGCCTTCACCGGCATTGGTGGCTTCCTTACTCAATTCCGGAGGTGCTTGATTTTTGCATGCAGTCGTGGAATGCCCAAGTATACGGCAATTTTTACGATGAATGGGGAGTCCGATAAACAACCGGTCGCAAGAGGGTGGTATTATTCAATAATAAGATGCCGACCATCCAGGGGAGAGTTTCCATAATATTCGGTTCCACAAGGACTCGAGCATAGGATAGTCTATCCATTGAAGCGATCAAACGATCGCATTGGAGAGGTTTGCCCAACAAACTAGCAATCTTCGACAAACACACAGTGGACCAACATTTGAGTGGCAAATTGGGGAGCTTGACCCAAACGAGGACGAGTAGCCATCTCGGAGGTGAAAAAATCAAAGTATTCCGTCATTG